AATAATAATAATAATAATAATAATAATAATAATAATAATAATAGTAATAATAATAATAATAATAATAGTTATATGAATTCAAAGAAAAAAGTACAAATTAATAAAAAATAAAATAACAAAAAAATAAGAAAAAAATTATAAAAAATAAAATCAAATCAAATTATATCCTCGGGAATTCAAATTTCTTCCTCGAAAACTCAAATTTCATCCGCAAAATTTAAATTCCATCTTCGGAAATATTCTATCTATGAAAATTCTATCTACGAAAGTTTAAATTTTACCCCCAAAAAATTCAAATTCCATTCTCAAAAATTTCATATTCTTTTATGCTTGAAAATTAAAATTCTATTCTCGAATATTTTATTAATAAGAAGAGAAAGTTTTTTTTTTCAGTAACTTAAACTTTTACAATAAATGAAAGCATTACAAAAAAAAAAAAAATTGTCTTAAAAATTAAATTCGAATAAAATTAAAATACAAAAATAAAAAAAAATAGAGTAAAAAGGAAAATACCTTGTATAAAATAAGAAATGTGCTCCAGTTAATAGAACAACCATTAATGATAGGATATTATCGAGTAAAAGCATTGTTAAATTTAACGCACAACCCAATCGTATTGGAACAATTAATATAACAAAAATAAATGAAATTTTATAAGCAATTTTAGCCGGAAATGATTTCTAAAATGTAATTTTATTTCATCCGGAAATGATTTCTAAAATGCAACTTCATTTTATCCGGAAATAAATTTTCTAAAATATTTTATTTTATCCGGAAATAAATTTTCTAAAATGGAATTTCATTTTATCCGAAAATAAATTTTCTAGAATGCAATTTTATTTTATCCGAAAATAAATTTTCTAAAATGTTATTTTATTTTATCGCCGGAAATAAATTTGTCTAAAATATAATTTTACTTTGTTTAGAAAAAAAGATAATTCTTTGGAAGTAAAAAGGAAAAAAAAAAGAAAATTTAAATTTTTGCAAAATTTACGGACAAATATTTGAATAAGAAAGTGGGAAAAAAAAAGATTTCTTTAAATGTGCATATTGTAAATTTATTTATTTTTTAATTTTTATTCATAAATTTCTTTTTTTTTTTTAGAAAAAATTTAAGATTTTCTTTCTTTTTTTCGTGCAAATTTATCTATTTTAATAAAAATGAAATTGACCATAACACGCCACCAACGTTTACGACCAACATTTTTAATATCCATTGCATCACAAACAATTTGCAATAATGCCATTAAAAGTACCATTTGTTCAGCAACTAATCGAACCTATTTCATTTCATTCAAAAATAAAATTTAAAAAAGAAAAAAAGCAGAAATGAATTAAAGAATTTTTGATTCCAAAATTTATTTTAAATCCCTCAAATGTATTCTTTTCCTTAAATTTAACATTTAAATTCGCAAATGTATTCCTTTTGTCAAATTTAACTTTTAAATTCGCAAATTTATTCCTTCCCTGAAATTTAACTTAAAATTCCCAAATGCATTCCTTTCCATAAATTTAACTTTTAAATTCGCAAATGTATTCCTTTTATCAAATTTAACTCCTAAATTCGCAAATGTATTCCTTCCCTGAAATTTAACTTTAAATTCGCAAATGTATTCCTTTTCTTAAATTTAACTTTTAAATTCGCATTCCTCATTATAACGCATTTCGTATTATATAATATTTAAAGTATATATTCTAAATTTTATTTATAATTTCACTTTATGTTTGCAAATTAATTTTCGCCAATTATTAAATAATTTTGAATAAAAAAATTTATTTATCGAATTAATTAGCATTCATTTGTCAGATTTCATTTCATTTTCTAATTACATTCCAGTATTTTAGTATTATGCCACTAATTTTTTTCTCCTACAATGAAAAAATTCAAGTTTTTTTTCTTTTTTGCACAGTTTATACAATTAATTAACACAATACTAAATGTTGCAATATTTCAATACTAATATTACATTAGTGATTTTATTGAATGATTTAAAAAAGTCATTCACATTGTCATTTTGTCATTGTCATTGTTTGTAACTGCTAATGTTCATGTTAAAATTTCCCAAAACTTGTTTAAATTAATAAACTGATTTGAACCACTGATTAATTTGTTATTAATTGAAATGAATTTTTCATTAATATCTTTTTTTTTTTTTTTTTGAAAATTTATTTTATAAACTTACATGTTGCTGCCATCCTGCAGTATATTGCCATAAATGACAAAAATCAGAATTATACCAAGCTTCTTCTAAACGAAAATATAAAATTTATTATTCAAAATTTTAAAAATAAAAAATCATCATTTAAAGCTAAAACAAAAAAAAATTCACTATTCAAAATTAATAATTGGAATAAATAGCTCTGTTATGTTAATTTAGCAATAACATCAAAATATTCCATAATTTATTCATTTCCAATTTTCATTTCTTTTATTTATATCTGGGATCGATTTCAAATGTTTTATTTCAACTTGTTAGATTAAATTTTGCTTTTTTTTTTCTCCCCCCGTCCCTCCGGGAATTTACATAATTAAAAAAAAAAAACATTCTTCTTTTCTTTTCTTCTTTTTTTTTGAACTAATGTTTCAAAATAATTTTATTGTCCAAAAAATTAACGCATTGTTAAATTTATCAAATTAAATTTTGCTTTTTCTTTTTTCTTTAATACATTTAGAAATATTTGCATAATCTAATAATGTCACATATAAATAATATTTAATATAATGAAACAAAGAAATTTGAATGAAATTTTGAATAATACGATGAAAGGATTTGTAAAATTTAAAAAAAAACTTAAATTTAAATTTTAATATGCATACCGAAATTTTTAAGTGTCCATGAAACTTGCTTATTTGCAGCATACGATGAAAATGATTGAAGCCTTGTAGCTTTAAGCATCATATAATCAAAAACAGTATAGGTGGAATTAGAACAAGGACTGTCAAGTGATGTAGTATTATTACATGGAGTTGTTGTATTAGTATGATGTATTTCATCATGTGTTATTACCTTTAATTGTTATTACTGATAATATTATCATTGATAAATGATAAAGATAAAAGTAAGACAATATAAGTAAGAGCAAAAAAATTTGATGTTAATTATAGCAATTAGCTTAATTCTAGTGTTAGTTGCTGTTATTGTTAATTCTATTAATCAGTTATTAATTATAGTATTAGATAAATTTAGTAATTAACTATCACGAGTTTATCATATGCTATCATATTCTAGCAAAATAATAATATCAGTAACTTGTATTAATGGATTGAATATTAACAGATGAACAGTTATTATTTTAATTTAAAATTGTCACCTTTGTTGTCATCGAAAATGGTCGACACATAAAAGCCATAAAGACAAAAATGAAATAAACCACAAAACATGAAAATGAAAGTGTCAAACTGTAATAATAATTGCTGATTATTTTGTTTGTTTTTTTTCAGGAATTCATCATTAATTTAATTTCTAGTCATAGTAATTAGCAAATTTGCTAATTAGCTCTCAGATCTTTGCAAAAAAAATTTTAGTAAAATTAGGATGATTTGCTGATTTGATTTCAAAATTTTAAACTTTTAAGAGAGGAAAAAAATCTGAAAATTCGCTATACTGAAATTAATTCCTTTATCGAATTTTTCAATTTCAGTTTAGGAATTAAATTAAAATTAAGAAATTAATTCTTTAATTGAATTTAATATGAAATCAGCTTAGTTCTTTAATTTAATGTTTTAATTTTTGATTTTAATTGTATGTGTCATTTTTAAATTAAAATTTATTTTTATGAACTCTTTTAATTTTTTTTCAAAAATTAAAATTAAAATCTTACTAACGACGTCCAAATGCTTCCCATTTAGCTTGTAATAATTCTTCCAACAATCCATCGAGAAGTTCCAAATGTTTTGTTGTTTCCTAAAATTTTAAATTAAATTACATTTTAAATAAGGAAGAAAGTAAGGAAGTACGGTAAGAATCGAATATCATATAAATTGAAATGCTTTCCTTTTTTTTAAGAAAAATTTGTCTATTAAGCAAAACTGCTACTCGATTAATAATTTGCTTACTTAATAACTTAAAAATGACTGGGAACAGCAGTAATATCATAAATTGAATTGAATTGACCAAACAATAAGCAAATAATTGGCTAATAAACAAATACAAAAGAAAAAAAAAGCAATTGATCTATTACTTTAGCAAATAAAATTTACCGTAGATAAAAAATGTTTCCATCATTTATTACTAGCTGATACTAGAAAATATATCCTGTCTTATCCGCGATACCGCGGTACATATCACTTATGATTACAATTTGTTTGAGATATGGATTATATGAAATGCAATATTACTATATCTTAATAGCTGTACAAATAAGAGTTTATTATTGAGCAAATAAGATATTTACGCCGTAAACAGTAAGTGATAATGCGCTATCCTCATTCATTTCACCAGTTTCTTGATTTATTGTATCAATACGAGCTAATGGATATGCATAACTACTCGCATTACCATATATCCATACAACATCTGCTTCTAATTTTAGAATTAATTCAAACATCTAAAATCAAATAATTAAAATACACGAGCATTTGGAAGTTGCAAAATAATTGTGAAATGAACAAGTTATAAATTTTTAGCTAAAAATTATGCAAATAAACTACGTTGCGATGACCAAAGGTCACTGTTATGATCAAAGATCATTATTTTGTTTATTGCAATGTCGTTCAAATGCTATTATTTCAGCTAGAATAATTGATTAATTAATTAATTAATTAATTAAT